TAGAGTAGTTCTATGAATTCCCGTCAAAAAAGGGTACCCTAAATTTATCGTAAACGGTGCCTTTAAGTAATGAGATACGCATGTAGAGAGCATCATTGGCCTTATTCAGAAATCCCCTTGCTCTCCCTCTCTTATCGATAGTCAGCGAAATCCACCCAAAGCCCATAGATGGTCGCCTTCAGAGGTCCTTCTCAGGCCCTAATTGGGTGGATTTTGTTGAATATTGGAAATGCTTGTAGGATGCTGAGAGATGACAGTTTTCTCATATGTGAGAGCACCATTTTGTATACACGTCCTCGTTTTCTCTGTTCTTGAGAATATTTCATTTTGTGACGTGTACTGAAATACATTGATTCAGTGGATCTCTTACTGCCTAAAGGTGTGACTACGAAGAATTTGCAGTACTTTTTGTAAATGTAGCATTTGTCATGTATTAAAGGTAAAGGCCCCTGTTCCAGGTTTCCACATATGGTGGCCTGCTACGGATCTACGCGAACCCTGATGAAAAAGAAGAGCAGCGTGAAACAAGAAAACTTCAGGCTGAGGTCGGTGTTAAAGTATCCCATTTCAAAAGCATATGTCCGTTGCGAAAACAACTGCGACATGCTTTTTATAGATCTTAAAATGCTTTTTTTCGTATGTATGATTGAGGAACGACTGACGTATGAAAGGTGCCTTTCTGTGTTCTCACATTTTTCATTCTAAGAATAGAACAGCGATGAGATCCATGCGATTCTCAACTCGCTATTCGTGTCAGTGCTTCAAACCACGACTGATGTTCATGCGACCCTCAGAGTAGACTGTGGGGATACTGCTGAGTATCTACTGCTCAAATATTGAAAGCTTGCCATACTCTTGGATTAATATGTCGAAGCTAATCAATGCGGTTTTGAAGTCATCTGAGGCCTCCTACTCGTGGATCGATTGTTTGGTGACAGTCATAAATGAACTAGGGCCCATTCCATGAACTTTTTTGGAGCTCGGGTTGACTTATTTTGAATCCGGGACAGGTTTCAGAATTTGTTCGAAGCTTCCGAATAAAAATTTACTAACAGTAGGAAGCTGTGCTGATTATGACGAGAGCCTTTAGGACAAAAAGCTCTAAAGACCTTTTTGATGTCTTGAAACATCTTATATCGTGCCGCGAGAAGGTTCCCGAGTAGGTGAAATAGAGCTGAATTTCTTAGAAAACCCCTCTAGGCCGGTATAGATTTATGTCCCAGGGTTAGAAAACAAGTGCAGAGTTCGTTCCTCTGTAGTGAGTCCGCCCATCACAAGTTATCGCCCTCTTGGAGCGGTCATCATTACGCTAGACGGGAGGGAAGTCAGTGATTAATCAAGTAAAGAGAGCAGCAAAGTCGCCCTAATAGAGAAAGTGCTGAATTTTGGGTGATAGGAACTGGCCAGAACTCTTCTCGCTCTTGTCAGTCATCTCTTGTCAATGTTCTTCTTCACTTGATACCAACTGCAAAAATGAGAGCCTTGCTTTGGGGGTTTCTGGGGCGTTTGAGCCTTTTCTGTCTTCGAACTGACTAGCCTCATTACTTTTTCTAACCACAAGGAATTTTCCCAATTGTCGACTGATTTCTGGAGTTCATTTTTCTTTCCAAGTTAAGAGTTACTCATTAAAAAATACCCCCAAGATTCAAGTGACTTTTGACACAGTGACAGGCTAGAAACCTTCAGAAAATGTTTTTCTAACGTCTAGACTTGTCTCAGTTGTCTGATTAGTTCCCTTTTTTCAGCTGGTCCAATTGCAAAATCAAACGAAGGCCTTGAGTGACACGAAGAGGTCTGGAAAATCGAAAGGTCATGCATCCTCCAACGCGAATTCGGATAGTGTCAAGTCAGCTGCAGTTCGTGCTCGTGAAAAAGCTGAGCGAGCTCGCGGACGTGCAGAAAAGTTGAAAGAAAAGGCTTCAGAAGCAAAAGAGCTGTCCGAGAAGTTGAAATTGAAAGTTGAAAAAGCGAAAAGAGCTGCCGATCGTGCAACTTCTCGATCAGATCGAGAGAAATCGCGGGCAGCTTCAGCCAAATGGTCCAAGTTAAGTGAGCAATATAGAAAAGCGAATCGTCGTTCAAGTAAGCTACGATCGTTAGTCGATAAGGCAACAAAGCGCTACAAAAAGCTTCTGAGAAAAGCGGAAAAGCCGGTAGAAAAGAAGCGTTGGGAACGGGTGAAAGATGGTGGCAAGAATTATCGAGCCGATGCAAATGAAGCTGTTTTGGCATTACTCCGAAAAGAAATGGCTCGAATTAAAGAACGTACCGCCACTAGGACCTATATGTACGAAACAAAACCTGCGGTAAAATAAGTTGAGCTAGGGTTTTTCTCTTTTTCAAGTTGTTGTTTCCTTATGTTTCCTTATGTTTTCGGTGATCATTACGAGTATTCGCGTCATGCCTTGGACTTGTTCCATGTTGTTATCTTTTATAGGGTTAATTTATTTATAGTGCCATTGTCATTGTCATTCTATGATTGATTTCTATCATACTAATGCTTAACAATTTAAAAATTTTACCCTCATTGAAAGCTAGTAATTGTTTGACATCCTCAGTGTAGCCTGAGTACTTTTTCCTTGACTCTGCTTCAGGTTGTAATGATGATGATACTGGTTTCTTTCTGTTAACTCGGTTCGCTATAATTTGATAAAATTTCAAGCTCTGAACGATATTTTGATAGGAAAAGGTAGTGGCCGATACAACATTCGTCATTAGTTCATGTTGTTGGGGAAGTTTGTCGCAACCCACCTCTCATCGACACCCAATGGAAGTGGTCCCCAGGGAGTCTGGCTCGCAACAACCTAAAGAGGCAAATCACCTGATTGGGCAACTACGGCTCCAAAGTCTTAGGGGTTTACGTTCATGGGACGTTACCGCCAATTTCGGGTTGTAGTTGCCTTATGGGTGTACATCTGCATGAGGGTATACTCACATTAACGTCACTGTTAAGTTCGCATGGGATTTCAATCTGTGTGGGTGTAAATAGTGGAATACTCAGAATTACTCTCGTGTTACACGAAATAGTGCTTAGTTCACATTTATATTCATATATTCAGTCAATGAATAGGATAGAATAGGGAACGTGCAGGGTGTAAGGTTAATGATATCACGTAGGCTCTCAGCTTGTTCATCACTTCTCCTAGCTGGGCGTATGATACTTGCAAGAATAAAGGCTGCAGCGATTTATAGGTTATAGCCGATAGGCGTGGATTTGAGTTTGCGCCATGTATTTGTCCTGCTCAGTTATCGACGTTATGCGATATTCTTCGTAGGTGTTGGTTTAATCAATGGGAATTCAGCTCAGTGTGCTTTCTCAAATGATTATTTAAGGAATTTCCTTAGTCGATAGTTTTAGTCAAGCAGTCGTGGATGGAGTCTGTAACTTATCAACAGGTCAGTTATAAATTTTTTGAAGCTCATCCACTGAATTGCACTTAGTAGAGGTAATTAAAAATCAGAAGCTGCCATAGAAAACTACCTAAAATCCCTATGGAAGTAGGATCTTCTGCAGGTACAACCGCCGATAACTTGAGTTGGAAACAAGAATGATTCATTGAGAAAGGTTTGCAGTTCAAATAAAAATGCTTCTTCTTCCAACTTCCCTACCGAAACTTAATCCTTTTGTAGCATGAGTGACCTTGAATTTCAACAAATATATTGAAACTTGTTTAATAATCCATGAATGCGTACTTGGAAGAGGAATTATTTGTTTCTGGTGATGCTCTGCCGTATAACTTCTCGATTCTGGGTGGTTTCCTACCTATATGGATGAACCGCTTGTTTCTACGTTGCTAGCTTTGGTCAGCACGTACGCTTCCAGTATAGCAAGAAACCTAAAATCAATTTTGTTCATACTTACAGCTACCTTACTTTTTTGTAGCGAGGAAAGTATTCCCTTCCGTTCGAGGCCTCATCACTCTACCCAGCATTCAGGCTGGGAAAAATATGCATGATTAGGCTTTTAGTTGGCAGTATACGACAATTTTTTGCGAAATAGAGGCATGTTGTTGTGTGCTGTGTGTGCGTGATGAGAGGTGGTTCGTCTTGTGAATTTCGTCATGGCGATCGGTTGCTGTCGTCGTCGTTGTCGGAACTCATTCATGAACTAAGTGTATTTCGTTGTCACAAATAGAACTGAGTTATGGGCAAAACCTCAAGTTTCGGATGAGGAACATGCACTACACTTATGCTTCTCAAAAGATCTGCACCTGTCCTTCTTCATTACCCTCATTTTTCTTCGTCATTCATTGTCAATGACCCTGCTGACTTTATGCTTTTACGACACATGTTGATTGCCAGAAGTTTCAATCGCTGACTTTTTCTGGACGCTATCGTTTCCTCATGGCTTACATGACGGTCACTTACCGTCATGTAGTGCCAAGGAAGGTCTACGCTAGGCGTTTCTAGGCTTCCATGATGGTCTCCACTTTACCCGACTGCTATACATATTCCAAGGAGCTAGTAAAGGAAGTGAATACCTATTTCGAACCCCTTACCTTCAGGACTGGGTCTTTTCCGATGTTGATTGTTTTCCAACGAAATTTTTGATGGGAGCTCCCAGTTTTTACAGCTTTTCAGAGAGGGAATGTGAGCTCTATCACAGAATGAAATCTTGTCAACTTAGCTTCCATTTCAAGTACGATGCTATGCTTGATTGCCCAATTTTAGTAAAAGCAATGGCAGAGCCGTAAAACCAATGAGTCGATCATCATTACCACCAGCATTACTACTGCTATTACTGTAGCCAAAATGTGTTGGTCGTTAGTGTTGGCGTTTTGACGATTTCGTGCCGTCCGCCATCTTTGAAAGGGACCAATCAGTCCGTATAAAGTGTGATGATGTGTGGCGCCGAGGATTCCGGATGACAGCTGGATGCGGTCACTTCGGAGGCACATACACTCTCTCCCACACATCGATCGTTGACCCTCATCGGTCCACGACTCCGCCCCGTCAAAGCTAGCGGCCGGCCGCCGACGGCAACGGGAGGGAGAGCGGGCGGTCCAAGACCCTCAGCCGCTGGCATTTTCAACGTCACAACAACGCATGTGAACTTCACTGCCACTGCTCCTGTCGGCAGCAGCTGCTCATCGTCGTCACATCGATCGATTTACCACATCATTCGTACTTGTCCGTAATTATTGTTGGTGTTGTGTTGCTAACCTTTACCACGTTCTATAGCCATGACACCCATATGCGCTCATACTCGACCAAATTTATTGGCGTTTTCGTCGTTTGTCGCCGCGTTTGTCGCGCCATACCGTAATCCTTTTACCAAAGCAGGACAAGAACGGCGCGGTGAGAGTGCTGTGGAGGCGGGAGACAGCGAGTCACAGCGTCGCAAAGATATGCGATGGACTGTGGTCTGTGGTGCGTGTTCAGCGAGCGGCGCCGACACGTCGAGCGACTTTGGCGCCGACGCCTTCTCGTCACCAGCGACGAACGCCGCGCCCGCCGCAGGTCCTGCTACCGTTTTCGTCTACAGATTTTTTTTTTCAAAATTTTTTTACCCATTATTCACTTATTTCTACCGTTTCCGTCTGCACCAGGTGTCAAATGCGCTTTATCTTGGGTTGTAGTTATCAGTTAGTAAGACTGTTGAAGCTTTGACTACTGTACTTCGCAAATATCGTTAAAACAATGCTTCTTTTACATTTTCTCACTAGCAACTCGAGCAACAGTAAAGTAACCTTATGCAGTTACGCGGTGAATTTGCGTTTCCGTTTGCAAGCCGTTTCATACTTTATAGACTCTCTTTCCGTTCTTTACTGCTGTTTTTCCATCAGGATTCTTAGAGAACGATGGGCAATGGGTCGAATAGGAACAGACTTTGGCAGCTTCTCGGTCAACTGCCAGCCGTAATTTATGAACTTCGCAGTTCCATAAATCACCCGGTTTTTTTTTCTTTCTCGCTACCATCACTTCACACTTGCAATTAGCCGTAGTGTTTGCTTATTTCATTGCCCCTTGGCTGTAACGTTCGGTAATGAGGGATACAGGATGATAATAGCAAAGAATATCCAGTGATACCATGGAAAGATATTCGGGGGTTGTCACAACTCAATTTTCTCTCCAGCAGGACTGACTATTGGACAATGGCGAATTTGTAGTTTTTATGGTTGGATTTTGTCAAAATTCTTGTAACTGTGACCGTGGAAATATTGATATCCTTTGGGGTTTTACCTGGTCTATCGAATGTGCAAAAGGGCGAACTTATCAGTGTTTCCAGGAGCAGCTACCTGTACATTGTGGCTTAGGTGGTGACGGACTGTGGCGAAGAACTCGTCCAATCCTCTGGGAAAGACTTTTAGATCGAGAATAGGCAGAAAATCCTTTTCGGCAGTCGATTGACGATGCTCATTTCAGGATGCTGAATGCTCCGTTTTGTTTTCGTTACTCTAGCCACAACCTTTTCCTTGACATTGTCTTTTAATCGCGATGTTAGGATAGTTGCTTTGTCTCTTTAGTTGTTTCACGGAAACTCCCCAGCAAGCCAAGCAATCCATCATCTGCGATGATTTAAACATGAAACTCTGTGATTTCCTCAAGCCTTAAATCCCACCCAAAACTATGTTCAAACTTTTCCGTCATGGGAATAAACTGAGATGGGCGTTTGTGACAACATCGTGAACTTTCGTGATCATGTAATTGATCCCGTGTGGATGAGTCTTCGAGTATAGCTGTCTCCACGAGTTTATGGAAGCGAATGATTCTGCCAGAAGAGGGTTTATTAGCTATGAAGAGAGAAAGGGAAATGGGATGTATAAGTTCATTAGTAGGACGTCAAGGCTTACTGATTTATTAGCTTTCTCTTTTTGGATGTTTTTCTTGATATTTCATCGTTGGAATTTTCTTGGAACCTTCGATCTTGTGGACCATCGTGAGCCGAAGATTCTCAACTTTTTCATGGTCTACATTAGTATAATCTTTGTTCTTCGACGAATTATTCCCTTGAGAGATTGATTGACTCGATTAGATACCTCTATGGTCTGGTAGTCTGGTAACCCAATCTTGAAATGCCCTTCACGGAGTAGAGGCGCTATTTGGCGGTAGAGTGGTCGGATCGTCAGAATAAAACCACTTCCTGATGAAATTACCCGACTATTCTTCACGGATTGAAAGGAGGCTGTGGGGTTTGGGACGCGCCCTGTACGTTACTGTATTCTAGAATTGTGGCACCTTCTAAGTGTCGTAGTCTAGCCTCTTGACTCCCAATGACTTTACTTTTGAGCATCATTATGCCTTTATTTCGTACGCATAATATAAGATACCATTGTCTTACTTTCTGGAAAATTAAGGCGATTAATCTCTTGACCGATATTTGAAAAAATATCTTGATAAACTAATGCAATTCTGATTTTCAAAAGCTGTCATCGGGTCATGTTAGTCATGAAGATCATCAGTTCATCATGCCTTTTTACTTTTATCATTTTTTCTTTCTCCTATAGCAATTTCTTCAGGTATCGCTTTCCTTTTCCATTAATTCTTCATGAACCAATGGTTTTGGAATCCATAGCCGCCTTCAAAGTCATGCATCAATGCTCTTTCTAGAATAATTTAAGGATGCCTCTTCACAAGCCCTAGCTCTCGGACTTAGATCTCTGAAGAGTTATTTTATCTTTTACTTGTTGAATAATTTACAATCGTGACAAGGTGCTACTAGTACCCGGTGCTGTGTGGATGTTAGCTAAGATTGATGAGCTTGTTTTGAGGGATAGTTGACAAACACGCGATGTTCTTCTATCAACAAACGATAATGCCCTTTTCTGTTAGATTTCCCAGCAAATTTTCTCTCACTTTTCTACAAGTAATTGATTATTCATTGAATTACTTGTGTTTGAATTACGGAATTGATTTTGCTTTGTTTGGTTGGCTTGAAATCTGAACTCAACCGGAATATTGGTTCTGTAGGGGGCAGGGAAATACTTCCGCATGGATTTATTGTTTGTTGTCTGGGTCCAGTCATTTATGTTTATTACTCCTACTGGAAACAGTCAGATTATTCCGGAAATTTTGCGAAAACTGCCACTACTCTCTTTTTAATTTTCTGATAGTCGGTTGGGTACTAATATTCACTTGGTATTATTTATTAGTACAAATTTCTGGAGTATAGAGAATGAGAATGTGGTGGCTAGAAGACAGCGAAGCTCGATGGGAGGAATTGGCTTGTTATGAGCTATCAAGATACTATTCCTAAGGAGCTTCCCCTAAAGTTGGAGCCCTTATGGTAATACCTGGCTCCTTTTTATGGCAATACCTGGGTCTTCATTTGATCATTAGACTGCTTCTCTTCCGTCCTGCTTAGTCTCCAGTCCTTTCTGGATGAAATTATGCTCCATGCAAACTGCCCCTTTTGCCCTTAGCTTCATTCTTTCCATCAGCAATAGTTCATCCGCCCTTACCCCAACTCTTCTGTCAATTTTCGAATTATTTGCCCGTCACTTACGGTTTTTTCTTGTGGTTTGAGATGAAACTGGACGAAAGCGTATCAAGTTCTTAGATTGCTATGCTTGAACTAATGCGCCCCTTGGGGAGTTTTGACGTGATACTGAGAAAGTATGACTTGGATGTCTTGAAACTGCATTCGCAGCGCAGGCTGGGATACCGACCGAGTTGTGGAGCTCCCCCCGTTGCTGCTTGCAGCAGCCGGGAATCGATGTTTGGCGGCCGCAGCAAGGGCCAACTAAGAAATCAAAGCTAAACACTGAAAATTGGAATGTCAATATGGAAGGAGGACTCGCTTTGAGGGGAAATTTCCGGTTGCCCTTAACGTGCACAGGTTCTCCATCAAAGGTCATTCGATGGTTTTCAATTTATTTTTCGGGCTCAAGCACCTAGAGGAGAAGGAGTACTTTTGGGCGCCCGTGACTTTCCGGGACTTTCACTGGAAGAGTTTGAGTAGGAGAGTACATTATTTAAAAAGGAAATTGTTCAAAATATTGCTTATTTTTTATATTTTCAATAGCATTTCGAGCTTCTTTCCGCACTTTCCCAGTGACTTCCGTGCTTTCTCAATTTTTTGGGTTCATGATAGGCGTATCATCTCTAGTAATTTTCAAGTTTGTTGAACCGGCTTTTCTAGTGTTGGGCTTTACAATGAAGTTCAGGAAAATCGATTTACCCACGCCGTAGTAAGTAGTGCTACGCCTATGATCAGGAGGGCAGAAGTAGATATTGCCCGAGAATTTTGTGATTAAGTAACGGACTTTACAATCTTTTGGTCGCAGAAATTAGAAATTGGAGTAAGGATCCACGATATACGAGCTCAGAATACCTGGGAAGGGGATGCGCAAGTCGAGAGACCTGCAACCCACAAGTCGCCCATCGTTTACTCACTTATATGGTCATTTGTCCGTTTTCAATATTCAAACAGCACGTAACACCCGCACTTTTTATTTATTTTCAATGTTTTCAACACAGCCTAAACGTCCGCACTAAAAGGACAATAGCAAGCCCCAATACGAAGCAAGAACCTCTTTCCGCCAGTAATTGGAGGCGAGAAATGTTCTAGGGAGACGAAACTAGAGGGCGAGAGAAAGCATATTTTGCTAGAGCTCCTAGAACTACCGCGCTGTGATGCGGCCGATATGACTCAAAGGGTTTTTATGAATATTTTCTTTCCCGAGCACTCGTCGGATGATGAACATGGCGCACTGAATAGGAGTGCTGGATATCCCTTGCGAGGATCCTGCAACCTTATCCCATCGCAGTATACGAGCTGCCTATGTCTTCACGGTCAAAAGGAAGTGATAAAAACAACTCAGTTACTGTTGAGGTGAACAGCAGAACCAAATACCTCCACGATTCCTGTGTGGTTCCCATATTTAGCGTATCCTAAAAAGATTTATCATTAAAGACTCCTCCTGTCTTCATTGATTGCCTTGTCGAGCTTAAGACGTACTGCATAAACCTCAACACAGAATAGTTGTCTCTTTCTTGGATAGTAAGTGATCCTAAATCAATAGACTTAGAGTAGGATGACCAGGTTGCAGTAATGGTTGCCCTGAAAAAAAGATTTTCTGCGAG